ATTGTAGAGATGAGGTCTCGCCAAGTTGCCCAGGTGGTCTCGAACCCGCGGGCTCAGGCAGTCCACTCACCTCGGCCTCCCAAAGCGTGGGATTATAGGTTGAGCCACCATGCCCGGCCTCAAATGTGTATTTTCATCAGATTTACAATATTAACTGTATTGTTTTAGTAAATAACCTTTGGGAGGGGTCTTGTGGGAGTATGGTTTCTGGACCTATATAATATTTATGAAGGAGATTGTTCTTTAAAAAAAAAAAGCTTGCTGGGAATGGTGGCTCATGCCTATGATCCCAGCACTTTGGGAGGTGGAAGCGAGAAGATTGCCTGAGCCCACGGGTTCGAGACCAGCCTGGGCAACTTGGTGAGACCTTGTCTCTACAATAAATTAAAAAACTAGCTGGGCATGGTGACTCACACCTGTAGTTTTAGCTACTTGGAAGACTGAGGTGAAAGGATCACCTTAACCCAGCAGGGTGAGGTTGTGGTGGCCATGAGCATGCCACTGCACTCAAGCCTGGCGACAATGAGACTCTGACTCAAAAAAAACAAAACCAAACCAACTTCAGTTCTGTTTGTGCTATTGTAAGTTAGAATAGCTGCTGCTTTCTAACTCTGTTGTTTTTCAGTTGCCTGATCTTGTACAAATGGGGTTTCTTTTAAGTGGGCACCGAGGTGGCTAAACTGGTGAGTCCATGGTGTGGACTCTGCTCTTCAATCCCCTTTTGTGTTTCAGAGGACAACTGGAAGACGGAGTACGTCCCGGTGCCGATCCCTGTGCCTGTGTATGTCCCGGTACCGATGCACATGTACAGCCAGAACATTCCTGTCCCCACTACAGTTCCTGTTCCTGTAAGTCATGCTTTAAGTCTTCCATTTTGCGATGTGTCAGGCGCAGCTGTGGAACACAGGGTGCAGTTGACCCTTGACCACTAAAGGTGAGAACTCCACATGTCCACTGAGCCATGAATTTTTTTCAGTAAACAGTTGGCCCTCCATGTTGGCTGCTTCTGCATCCACAATCAAGCATGAATCGAAAATTGGTATTTGAGGGATACACAGTGTGCGTATACAGAGGGCTGACTGCAAGACCTGAGTGTGGCCTCCCGGATTTGGGTACCTGCGGGGGGTGCTGGACCCAGTGCCCTGCGGGTACCGAGGGATGCCCGTGGTTGCAGTGACTAGCTTCGTGAAGCTGTTGAGGCCATCTGCGCCCTCTTCGACAGTTAGCTGAGACTTGCTGGAATTTCTGCTGTCATGGTTGCTTTGTTTACTTTACCCAGGTGTGTGTGAGTCTTTGAGAATAACGTTTTACAATGTCTGCATTTGCTCTGTGCATGTTGTTCAAAATGGCTTAGAACAGAAACAGAGTTTCACATAAAATATCATTATACTGTTTCACCCCCCATCACTTGCCATACTTAGAATAGGATGTTGGGGCTTGGCTACCACAGTCCACGGGGAGAGAGATGCCTGGACAGTTCTTTCCCTTCATTTTTATTTCAAAAGGTAGCAGCTGTGTTCTGGGGTTTCCTTGTCACAGTTAACAAGGTCTTAGTTTTCTTGTGGTTCTTGCCAAAGCTTGTATCTGATATGTATAGTATTATAAAAGGAGATCCTGTGTCAGAGTAATTTTTAATTTGGAAAAATGCCTTTTGATGCTGAGTGGATCTAACAACACTAAATGCTGTGCATAACTAGGTACCAGTTCCTGTTTTTCTGCCTGCTCCATTGGACAGCAGTGAGAAGATCCCCGCAGCCATCGAGGAGCTCAAGAACCAAGTGTCTTCAGACGCTCTTGACACACAGTTGCTCACGATGACAGATGAGATGCCAGAAGATGGCGGGGAGGTGGAGGCTGCCAGCATCAACAGTGAGCTGCGCCGCCCTATGCCTTTGAATGGGTGTTGTGGGTTTTCGTGGGTGTGGTGGTTGCTGCCAGCCCCTCGGGGCCTGTTGTTGTGCTTACCCTGGATGTGGGCTTTAGAAGCATTGGGGCAGAAGCACATTTTATACCAAGAGCGCCATGCTGCCTCTGGCTGGGGCCGCCTTAAACCCAACCCAATCTCCACAGTAGGAGCTGTATGAGGAGGGACCCACAAAAAGCTGGAATTATCTTCTGGAGGGCGGGCCCCTTTTACAAATACTCTACATATTTGTAGTACAGGCTTCCCTTGTCAGATAAGTGTTCTAGGAACCATCAGCATCAAGGTACCAGCTAGTGTTGTGAGAGGCTGCACTTAGGTTTGGCGATTTTTTTTTTTTGGATATTCTTTTAAAGCAACATGTTTGCCCATTTCTTGATGGGTGATTTATAAGTGCACCTACCCACACTGTGCTGAGTGTTCAGCAGTTTTTGACGAAAAACAGCATGGCCCCCTGTGCCCTACCCTCCCTATTCACCCAGTTTCACCCCAGGGACTTTGTTTTCTTTCCCGGATGAAGAAAGTCCTTAAAGGGAAATGGTTCGCTGATGTGGAAGAAGTGAAACAAAAAATGGCAGAAACACTAAGAGACATCAAAATTGACGAGTTCAAAAACTGTTTTGAGCAGTTGATAAAGCATCTCAATAGGTGTATTGCATCAAACAGAGTACTTTGAAGGGAACTAAAGTTTAAGTCTGAAGTTTCAACATGTAAGAATAAATACACAACTTTTTATAAATAGATTCCATTTTTTGGGGGTCCCCCCTCATATGTCCCTGTTTCACTAGGATTTGACTCACAAAGTTAGTTTGGCATTATTCTGGTTAATGAGTAGCACAGACCCAAAACTAACTTGTAGTGGGCTGTAATGATTATCCAAACCCTTATGTGCAATAGTTATCCCAGTTTTGTTTTCTTGCTTATACTAAGAAAATAGTTTGCATTAATTTCCACTGGGGTGCCTCTGCTTGCTGCGTGGCGTAGTATGGCAAATGTGTGTGGATGGTTCACTTGGCATATTTGTTCCTATCCCATCCCTCTGGTGATACCCATGGCCCCATTTCAGCTTTGAGCTGTCCAAATCCCTTTGACCTAGAGGGCAGTCAAAATACTGTAGTTTTCTCTGAATTTCGTAATGTGACAGTGTTTTTGAAGCACTGTGTTAAGGGCTTGTGAAACTTATTTAGTGGGTTGTAGCCAGTGTTTTTTTTTTTTTTTTTTTTTTTAAATGAAGTGGAACAGGAAAAAAAATGTTAGCGTGAATCCCTCATAGAAAGGGTAAGTATTGTCTTGTGAAACCTTTGTGTCCAGTGTATGCATGTCTGTCTGTCTCCCACCATCACCCTTGATTTTGTATTGGATAAAATGCATTTCTTACTCTAATTACAGCACAAAAAACATTTGAGAGCAGCTAATCAGAACATTAGAAGTCAATTGTGAACATACATATATCGAATGAGATGGGAAACCTAGGTCAAAGTTCAAGACTATTGAAAACTGCAGTTATCTATCCTCATGAGTTTATTTCTGACAAGAAGTTGCTTTTATAAATTTTCTACGTATTAGAGTTGTTTTACTATCAAAACACACCTATTAACTTTTGAAGGGAGATAGTCAAAATTTGCAGAATTAAAAGTTTTCATGTACTTGTGATGATCTAATTGTAATTATGAAGTGTATAGTTTACATTTTAAGATAGCTACAGAAATACCTATTTCTCTTGTGACATTTTGATTATTTTTGTACTGGATTTGCAGTTAGATGACTTCCTTTTGCTAGAGTAAATACAGATGTGGTTGGGGTTCTCATGTTTGGTTTCTAATGATGTTATGGATTGATTACAGGTGTGATGATTGAAACAGATATAATTGGTTCAGACCTCTTGAAGAGCTCTGACCCAGAGATGCAGTCCGCCATGCCTGATGTGCCATACGAACCAGACTTGGATATTGAAATAGATTTTCCCAGAGGTACTATTTTATGTCGTTGCCTTTGGTGTTCATATTTATTTTTTCTTTTTTCCCCCATGTAAAACTTAACAATGAACTTCTGGAATGAGACATAGATTGAATGGTGGGACTTAAAAAGAATTTCTTTGAGCTTTAAAAATAAACTTTCTAAAGTAATTTAGTAGAATTTATAAAACATTCGCTTTTGGCAAAAGATTTAATAGATTGAACCATTTGCACTGAGACCATTTAGGTCTTATAATTGAGTTTCAGACTATAATAATTATTCTGATATCACATGTTTCCATGAAGACTCTGTGTTGCTATTCATTGTACATAGAATATTGTGGGGGTCTGAACAGGCTGTATGAGAACTCACAGACCACATCAGGTGCAATAAGTCATTCCTCCCAGTCCAGCCCATGTTTTGTCCTCGTGTACGAATGCCTGTTCACATTCTGTGGCTAGTTATCTGTTGGCTGTGTTCATGTAACATAAACCTGTGTTACTGAGTTTGCAGTCAGAGTCCTTCTCATTCTAATTGTCAGCTGCTGAGGAGCTGGATATGGAAAGTGAGTTTTTATTACCACCTGTGTTTGGAGAAGAATATGAGGAGCAGCCCAGGCCTCGATCTAAAAAGAAGGTACTTTCAATCTGAGAGAGCAAGTAAAATAAAAATGTAAAAGTAAATACATATAAGGTACACAGTTTAATAATAGTCTTGTATTCACTTAATATCTCAGTAGAGCAATATTTTTGTAGGTACAGAGAAGGGCACAGTGAGCTTTTGCTGTGCCCGAGAATATGGGAAAGTGTTTTTTTTTGTTTTTTACGTTCTAAAATATTTTTTTTTTTTTGAGTTGGAGTCTCACTCTGTCACCCAGATTGGAGTGCAGTGGCCGCTCCCGGTCACTGCAGCCTCGACCTGCTGGGCTCCGGCGATCCTTCTGCCTCAGCCTTCCAAGTAGCTGGAACTATAGGCGCGCGCTACCACGCCCGGCTAGTTTTTTGATTTATTGTAGAGATGAGGTCTTGCCAAGTTGCATAGGCGGGTCTCGAACCCGCGGGCTCAGCAATCTACTCACCTCAGCCTCCTGAAGGCGCGGGATTACAGGCTGAGCCACCGAGCCCGGCTTCTAAAAGATTTTAAGAGGTGATTTATTTCCCAGTAATACAAATCTCAGATTTAGTTGTTACATTATAGAAAAAGAGTGAATATTTTATTGCCACTTAGTTTTTTTTTTTAAGTTTATCTTGATATGAGGTCAAAATAGAAGACTGTTGTTTCAGTTCAATTCAGTTGTTTGAGGAGAATTGAGACTTTGCTAGAGAGCTGTTTTTTCCGTCATTTTTTTAAATGAGTTTAGTCAACGAGGTTGAGGCATACAGTTTTTTATATCTGCCTCTTTAAGCATGTCAAAACTTAGGAAAATATGCTGGACTGTGTGATCATTCAGGTAGGCCAGATCTAGACGCAGTAATAGCTATGCCTTTGTAGATGTTCTATTAGTAACTTTCTGTGGTTCTGATTTCCAATATAAAGCAAGATTTAAAAACCCTTTAAGAAAGATGGCTTTCACAAACTTTCTGTAAAAGAAAGAAAACTGAAAAAGGAATAAGTACTGGCAGTAAGAGAAAGATAGACGCCGGACTCGGTGGCTCAGCCTGTAATCCCGTGCCTTTGGGAGGCTGAGGTAAGTGGATTGCCTGAGCCCGCAGGTTCGAGACCCGCCTGGGCAACTTGGTGAGACCTCATCTCTACAATAAATAAAAAAGTCAGCCGGGCGAGGTAGTGCGCGCCTGTAGTTCTAGCTACTTAGAAGGCTGAGGCGGAAGGATCGCTGGAGCCCTGCAGGTCGAGGCTGTGGTGGCTGGGAGCGGCCACTGCACTCCAGTCTGGGCGACAGAGTGAGACTCCAACTCCAAAAAAAAGAGGAAGATAGAGTCCTGTTTGACACCCACACAGATAGATGTTCACCCAGAGTGGGTTCTCACCCTGCATGTAGGAACTAGAAACAGAAAACTCAGAGAAAAGACAGACCTACTTCTTTATGGCTTCAGCTTAGGCATAGTTTTCTTAGATATAATAGTAAGAACACAAGAAAGACAAGAGGAAAAAAATGGATAAATTGGATTACATAAAAATTGAAAAGTTTTGTACAGAAGACAGTATCTTCAAGAAAGTGCAGAGTAGTTGAGTGCTGTTCCCTGTAAGGTGGAGTTGCTAAAATGTTCTAAATGTCCTCTCCTACATTTTTAGATTATTAGTTTATTGTCATATATTTGTTTTCTCATCATCAGTGACTCGCAGTAGAATTTAACATGATTTTGTTATATAAAGTGATTTATGTAGACACATAACATTCCTGGAAATGCATTTCAAGAATTGCTATAAATAATAAACTATTGTCAGATTCAGGAATGCCAGCTGATTCTAAGCAAAAACATACATTTCTAATTACACTGGACCCTTGGACAGTGCAGGGATTAGGAGAACTGACCCCCTGCACTGTTGAAAATTCACATATAACTTTTGACTTCCCCAAATCTTAACTACTTATAGCCTACTTACTGATAATATAAACAGTTGATTAACACATATCTCATATGTTATATGTATACTATATTTTTACAATAAAGTGAACTAGAGAAAAGAATTTGTTACCAAGAAAATCATAAGGAAGGGAAAATACACTTACTATTATGTGGAAGTGGATCATCATGAAGGTCTTCATCTTTGTCTGCTTGTTGAGTAGGCTGAGGTGGAGGAAGCAGGGGACTGGTCTTACTGTCTCGGGGTGGGGAGGTGGAGTTGCTGGAGGAGGTTGGCAGGGCAGTAAGGAGAGACAGGCACATTCGTTGTCACTTTTATTGAGAAAAATGCATGTATAAGTAGATCCACACAGCTCCAGCCTATGTGGTTTAAGGATTGGCTGTAGTCGCCTTTGTTGAGAGTCATGAATTAATATAGGCGTAAAAAATATTTTACTATGGTGTTTTACTAATAGGGAGCCAAGAGAAAAGCTGTATCAGGATACCAGTCTCATGATGATAGTTCTGACAATTCAGAATGCAGCTTTCCTTTCAAATACACGTATGGTGTAAATGCATGGAAACACTGGGTCAAAACTAGGCAACTCGATGAAGATCTTCTGGTATTAGATGAGCTAAAATCTCGTAAGTTTTTTGATTTTGTTTCTCCTAAGTTCTATTTAATATCAAGATTTCTGTTATTGACTGTCTTAAAAAAAGCATAAATGTAGTTTGAAACGTTTCTAAGAATGCATTTTATTTTGAATTATGATAAAGAACAAATTAATTTCAGAAAGTTTCTTAACCTTAAGACAGTAAATAACAACATTTATTTTATTTTTTTTCTTTTTAGCTAAATCAGTAAAGTTAAAAGAGGATCTACTCTCTCACACCACAGCAGAGCTTAACTATGGGCTAGCCCATTTTGTTAATGAGATCCGGCGGCCAAATGGAGAGAATTATGCACCTGACAGCATCTATTACCTCTGCCTTGGAATACAAGAGGTTAGTGATTTGATGACTGCTTTCAAATATAGCATTAATATAAAAGGTGGTTGTGGTATTTCTTGGAGACAAAAATGTTGTGCCTGCAGAATAGAAAGACAGATTTAGAGTTTTGTTTTGGGCCTAAAATTTAATGTTATTCAGCTAATAGCTATTTGATAATGAAATGAGTTACTGAGGAAGACTAGCATTGTCTGAGTTTGTATCTTACTTATTTTCTCTTCAGGATAGAGATTTGCCTAAGATGATGTAAGTGGTGGTGGAATGCAGTGCATGGCTGCACATGACTGCATGTTCAAGGGTCATATATACTTTGCAGTAGCAACAGAGAAGAAAGATGGTAGGCTTACCTCTTCTTATTTCCGTGTGATGGCTTCACATATACTTTGAGCCTCATGCTTAGATGGAGACATAGGCCCACCATTCCAGGCTCCTCAAGCTTCTGAAAGCCAGAGATTTTTTCAGGAAAACACATTTGACAGTAAAACCCAACTCGAAAGATTATGAGGATATTGGTTTTTTTACTTATTACACTGAGTGTTAATATCCATCCATAAAATGTTAACTGTTGAAATTACTATAGAGTTATTAATGTTTCTAAATAGGTTCAGGGCACCTGCCCAGATACTATAGGCATGTTAAATGTGTTTATCTGCACGCCTCATTTTTTCCCTGTAGGGCTGGGAGAAGTATGTATTCCCAAACACAGGACCCCAGTGGTTCTGGCTCAGAGGTTTAAGGCCTGTGTGTGTCCCTAATAGTTTTCTTTTTTTTTAAGAGTAGGAATAGTATTTATAAATATTGTACCAGCCGTAGGTGAAATCACCCCAATCTTCTGGTGTTAGAACAAGTTGTTTATTACGTTAACCCTCTTGAAAGCCATTTCCTGTACCATGCTGTCTCCAACGCAGGCAGGCCCTTGTTGAGCTGGATGGTTGTCATGACTTTATTATTTTCTTTCTTAATTTGCTCTTTTATTTCCCAGCTTCTTAAGATGGAAGCTTAGGTAATTGGTTTGAGATCTTCTTTTTAAGAAAACCATTTTAAGCTATACATTTCCCTCTAAAACTAGTTTACTACATTCCACAAAGTTTCATATGTTACGTTTTTATTTTCCTTGACTTAAATAAAGGAAAACACTACCACAGGAAGTTGAGTCTCTGGATTCCTTTTTATTGAATGGATTCTTTAAGTATTAGAACTCCAAATACTATTAGAAGTTTGAGAGCTAAACGAATGACTATGAATTGATTATGAATGATTATGAATTATGTGTAGGTTCACTCCCCCCAATTTCTGTTATTGTAGTAAAGTACACATAACATGAAATTTACCATTTTAACTGTTTGTAACTGTACAGTTCAGTGGCATTAAGTGCATTCACATTGTGCAACCAGCACCACCATCATCTCCACAGCTCTTCATCTTGCAAAGCTGAACCTCTGTGTGTGTTAGGCAGTGAGCCGGCTCCTAGCTGCCTTCTGGTCTGTGGATCTGGCCATCTTAGATACCTCAGCAAGTATTTGTCCTTTTGTGTCTGGCTTATTTTACTTAGCATAGTGTTTTCAAGGTTTATTCATGTGTAGCATATGTCAAAATGTCCTTTTAAAATATATTCTTTTTCTTTTTTTGAGTTGGAGTCTCACTCTGTTGCCCAGACTGGAGTGCAGTGGTACGCTCCCAGCCACCGCGGCCTCAACCTGCTGGATTCAGGCGATCCTTCCACCTTAGCCTTTCAAGTAGCTGGAACCACAGGCACACGTCACCATGCCCGACTTGATTTTTTTATTTACTGTAGGGGATGAGATCTCACCAAGTTGTTCAGGCTGGTCTCGAACCCCTGGGCTCAAGCAAGCCTCTTAACTCGGCGCGAGCCACTGCGCCCAGCCCTAAAATAAGTTCTTTGTGTATTCACATAATGTTTCCTCAAAAAATTATTTTACTGCTGAACTGTACACTTAAAAATGATTAAGATGGGAATTTTTATGTTTCACAACTTACCGCTATCTTTAAAAACCATGTACTGTTTATTTTCATCTTTGGACACATTTTCATACACTTGATTTGTTTTCAAAGACTGGGGGGTATTTATAAGTGACTTTAAAAACAATCCTAAAACTCATTGTAAAGATAAGATAATCAGATATCTAAAATGTGCTTTCTGGAAATCAGTGCTGTTCAATGTTGCTTCAATGATGTATATAGAAATAGAAGTTATTTTTGGAAGACTGCATTTTTTTCTGTATGCAATTATTGATTTTGTTCTCATCTGACAATAATAACAATGTTGATAGGAAATGTGATTTTCTTATCAAGGTCTTCAAGAAGGAATAATAATAATAATATCTTGTAAGGCCAAGTACTGTGGCTTATGCCTGTAATGCCTACACTTTGGGAGGCCGAGGCGGGAGAATTGCTTGAACGTAGGAGTTCTAGACCAGTCTGGGCAACATAGCCAGACCTCATCTCTACCAAAAAAAAAAAAAAAAAAAAGTTATCCAGGTGTGGTGGCGTGTGCCTGCAATCCTAGCTACTCAGGAGGCTGAGACAGAAGGATTGCGTGAGCCCAGGAAGTCATGACCACGTGAGCCATGATCATGGTAAGGGTGCCAGTGCACAACAGCCTAGAGATTGCCTGGAGAAACCTTTAAGAAGGCCCATGTCTTGGCATTTCATTTGGGAACTGCTTTCAGTAGAGCTGAGTTGGGAGCTTAGTAGTTTTTGGCTTGTTAACATTGCTGACGTTCTGAGTGTACATAGAAATTTTCCTTTTTTGTTAGATTCACAGGTGAAAAGAATTATTTCAGAATCTTTTCCCTCACTTTTATATATATTGTTTTATTATAAGAGCAAAAATTATGAATTGCTTTTCTAAACTTGGGAGTTTTATTTCAGTGATTGTTTTATATAGTCAGAGTCTCACTCTGCTACCCAGGCTGGAGTGCAGTGGCACAATCATGGCTACTGCAGTCTTGACCTGGAGGGGCTTGGGGGCTCAAGGGCTTGGGCGATCCTTCTGTCTTGTCTCAGCCTTCAGAGGAGCTGGGACACTTCACCCCACCCAGCTACTTTTTTTGATGTATTGTAGAGACAATGTCTCATCATGTTGCCCAGGCTGGTCACCAACTCCTGGGCTCTGTCAGTCCTCTCACCTCCACCTCCCAAAGTGCTGAGATTACAGGGGTGAGCCACCACACCCGGCCAAGTTTGCATTTTAAAAACTAGGAATGCTACTTTACAGAAATGGGTAGTCCCTTTAAATAGTTTGAATCAGCCGGGCTCTGTGGCTCAGCCTGTAATCCCGCGCCTTTGGGAGGCTGAGGTGAGTGGATTGCCTGAGCCTGCGGGTTCAAGACCCGGCTGGGCAGCGAGACCTCATCTCTACAATAAATCAAATCAGCTGGGCGTGGTAGCGCATGCCTGTAATTCCGGCTACTTGGAAGGCTGAGGTCGAGGCTGCGGTGGCCGGGAGCAGCCACGGCACTCCAGTCTGGGCGACAGAGTGGGACTCCAGCTCAAAAAAAAAAAAAAAAAATTAAATAAATAAATAGTTTGAATCATGATGTTTTATTTTAACCAATCAGTGCTATAATTGTAACAATGGGACTATCCAGACAGGTGAGATAGGAAGTGGGATTTCTAGAGCTCCTACTTCCTGACTGGCCCAGAGGCAGGGGAAGGATCTGGCGTGTGTCCTCCTTGATTTGCAGGCGCTTACCAGTTGGCCTGTCATCCCACTTGGAAGGCATGATGGGGGAGCATTTGTTCTGCTAGCATTTCTCCAACTGGTAGTAGTAGCATTAGGCCAACTTAGAAGATGCTACTCTGGACTAGGTTTTGACGAGTGCATACATAGTGTATATTTTTTCTTTCTTTCACTTTTCATTTATCTGCACCTTTTTATGAAGTAGGATTTCTATCGATGGCATATTGTTGAGCCTTGCTTTTATTTATTTGTTTTGAGTTGGAGTCTCACTCAGTCGCCCAGACTGGAGTGCAGTGGCCGCTCCCGGCCACTGCAGCCTCGACCTGCTGGTTTCCGGTGATCCTTCCGCCTCAGCCTTCCGAGTAGCTGGAATTGCAGGCCCGCGCTACCACGCCCCCCGCTGATTTTTTGATTTATTGTAGCGATGAGGTCTCACCTGCCCAGGCGGGTCTCGAACCCGTGGGCTCAGGCAATCCACTCACCTCAGCCTCCCAAAGGTGCAGGATTACAGGCTGAGCCACCGAGCCCGGCTCGAGCCTTGCTTTTAAAGAACAAATCCAATCTGATCTTATCTATCTTTTAATTGGTGTGTTTAGACCAGGAACCAGTAAGCTTTTTTGTGAGGGACCAGATGGCAACTGTTGCAGGCTTCACAGACCATGCTTGGCTGTGTCTTGCAGCCGTTCAGCTCTGCTGGCATGGCTGGGAACCGTGTGGACAGTGCAAGGGACTGGAGGGGACTGTATTCCAAGGAAACCTGATTTACGGAAATAGGCCGTGGCTGGACAGGGCTCATGGACTCTTGCTGACCTTTTACACTTAATATATTACCACTATCGCTGGTTTAAAATCTGTTGTCCAAGGCTGGGTGCGGTGGCTCAAGCCTGCAATCCCAGCGCTTTGGGAGGCTGAAGTGAACGGATTGCCTGAGCCCCGGGTTTGAGAACAGCCTGTGCAACTTGGCAAGATCTCATCTCTACGGTAAATAAAAAAAATTAGCTGGGCATGGTAGTGCGTGCCTGTAGTTCCGGCTACTTGGAAGGCTGAGGCAGAAGAATCACTGGAGCCCCGCAGGTCGATGCTGGGCCGTGAGTATGCCACTACACTCCAACCTGGGTGATGTAGTGAGACTCCAACTCAATAAATAAATAAATAAAATCTGTCATCCTGCTGGTGGTATAATAGTCTTTTCCATTCTTTGTTTTTTCGTCTTATTCTGCTTTCTTTCGAATTAACATTTCTGTGATCTGGTTTTTTTCTCCATTCTTGGTTTATTATTTGTACTTTTTGAAAGTGTGTTCACTGGTTACACGAGTGTTTATAATCTGCACTAGTGTTTATAATCAGCACTAGTGTTTATAATCAGCGCCTGCCCTTAGCTAATACCCTGCCCTTATCCTGCGACTGCAGAGCCTCCTAATGGTGGCTCCCAGTCTCTGACTCCCATTCTTTGTGCTACTGTTATTGTACAGTCTTCTTTTGCATTATTTTATTTTTAAATCCCTCTGGTCTTTAAACTTTATTCTGTGACAACTCTCACTGGTAAGATTCAAGGTTCGTGACAGTCAGTTATGAGAGCCACTAGTTTTTCTGTCTTGCAGTGGGAGAGTCTAGTTCAGGGACAGTAAGAAGCAACCCCTGCCTGGTGGTCAGAATGTCGAAACGTGCTTCCCACAACTGTGGCAGCATCGCATCCTCCTGGCCCCTCACTGTGTTTCTTTAGTCATTAATTATTCTTGTTTAAAATTTAAACTTTTCTTTAGCACTATATTGTAAGCGGATACTATAGAGTCAGACATTCTGGCTTTTGTCTGACGTACTGAAGATTCTCATCTTAAGGAATACAGAGTATACTATATTCATTGTTATAATTAGCTGGTTGTCCTTCAAGAAATTTATTGCTTTTTTTGTAGTACTTGTGTGGAAGTAATAGAAAAGACAACATATTTATTGATCCCGGATACCAGACATTTGAGCAAGAATTGAATAAAATACTCCGAAGTTGGCAACCAAGCATACTTCCAGATGGTAATGCTGTTTTACATAAAGGCATTGGCTTTTGATACTGGGAGTGTTATCTTTACAGAAAGTATGTTGAGAATAATGAGAAAATCATTTAAATTAGATAGCGTATTTTTCCAAGTACTTACTTGTGCGCTCATCTGATGTTCATCTTTTGTTGAATTAGAAATGAATCTGATAAATAACTAGTGTTTATGAAGACCTTTGTAAGCAATGTGATCTACTTTCTCTGGAGTACGAGACTGGATGTTTATGTCCTAAGCCCTCCAGTGGAGATTCTGATGTAAATTTCTCTTAAACCACAGTTTTAGATGTGTGAAAAAAAATGTGTATATATATATCTGGGATCACGTATTTTTTCAGGAATTCTACAGATCTAAATTCCTTTCTGACCATTGTCTGCTTGTCCTACTGAAGAACAGAAGCAAACATCCGGTCCCTTATTCCAGAGATGACAGTTCCATAGTCTGGTGTGTTTCCTACCCTCTGTGTTGTTAGACAGCTGCATAGTAATTCTGAAATTCATTACAGTTGACCTGGTGTGAATGGAAGATTGGCATAGGTTTGTTCTTAAGTAAACGTCATCTACTTCTAGATGGTTAAATGAAAGCTGTTTTATTTATTATAACTCTTTTAAAATAGTTCTCTCTATTTAAGGGTCAATATTTTCTCGAGTTGAAGAAGACTATCTCTGGAGGATAAAACAACTAGGATCCCACTCTCCAGTAGCTCTTCTGAATACACTGTTCTACTTTAACACTAAGTATTTTGGCCTGAAAACAGTGGAACAACACTTAAGACTTTCCTTTGGCACTGTGTTTAGGCATTGGAAAAAAAATCCTTTAACAATGGAAAACAAAGCATGTCTTCGATACCAAGTATCTTCCTTATGTGGAACAGATAATGAAGGTAGCGTCCCAGAGTCTTATTTTGAGATTGTCTGTGATAGGGATAGTCACACCTGCTTTGCTGAAGACCACCCGGGTCACTTGCTAAGAACCTGAGGACTAGCCGGGCTCGGTGGCTCAGCCTGTAATCCCGCGCCTTTGGGGGGCTGAGGTGAGTGGATTGCCTGAGCCCGTGGGTTCGAGACCCGCCTGGGCAACTTGGCGAGATCTCATCTCTACAATAAATCAAAAAAAAATTAGCCGGGTGTGGTAGCGTGCGTCTGTAGTTCCAGCTACTCGAAATGCTGAGGCAGAAGGATCGCTGGAGCCCAGCAGGTCAAGGCTGCGGTGGCCAGGAGTGGTCACTGCACTCCAGTCTGGGTGACAGAGTGAGACTCCAACTCAAAAAAAAAAAAAAAGAACCTGAGGACTGCCATTTTCTAAAATAAGACAACCTGTGTCTTCTTAAGATGTCTCAGTTCCTTTTGTTTGAAAAATTGTGCATCACCATAAGATGTAACTTAGCACCTGGGAAGGCTAGGCCCATTCTTTGGTATAACAGACACTAGGAATGAATAGCACTATCTTCAAGGTTCATTTAAGGTGGTTTGTTTACTTTTTATTTTTTAAGATAAAATTACTACTGGAAAGAGAAAACATGAAGATGATGAGCCAGTATTTGAACAGATTGAAAACACAGCCAATCCTTCTAGATGTCCTGTGAAGATGTTTGAATGCTACTTGTCTAAAAGGTGAGTGTTCATGATGCTTAGTGTTTAAAAATGGTAGTGTAAGTTGGCTACCAAGAGATAATTTCTTTTCATTGATTTTTTTTTTTTTTAGATTAGAAAATATGGTTTATTTAGAAAGTAAATGAGAAAGAGAGAGAAAATTCACCTCCCCAAGGTAGGGGAGGGGACCAAGGCCAAGAAACATGGTGGCCATAGCTCAACTTTTATTTGATTATTTTTTAGTTTTATCTCTCTTCTCACTTATATCGAAGCATATTCAGTTATCACTTTTTAGACTCATTATTGTGAAATGCCCACCTCTCTTCATATTTAACGATTCCAGCATGTGTTAAGACATCACTTTCCACCGATGCAGTTGCTGCTGCCCTCTTTTAAGTGGTGGCAGTTCTGATGACTGTGAAGCAGGGGCACGGACCTCTTCTGTAGAGGCTCAGGGAGTAAATAGGGTAGGGGGGGTTTCTGGGCTAGTGTCTTTGTTGCAACTAGACGGTTCTGTGTTGCAGCTAGAACGCAGCCAAAGACTGTGTATAAGTTCATGACATGCTGCTGTGTTATCATAGAACTACACAGATAGGTGCTGGCTGTAGTTAGTCAACCCCTGGTGTAAAATGTGTTCAGAGGTCAGCTAGATGGGTTGGGACGGAATGAAGCATTTCTGTTTAAGAGAGCTCTTTAAGGCGGTCTGAGAGAGCCAGTAGTCTTCTGAAAGTTCTGCTCTTGCCAGTCACGCCACTGCTGTGTTTTCCCAGTCTTAGACCAACAAGCATTTTTAAACATATAAACCAATACAGTGTTAGGGATCAAAGATTATGTTATGCTTGTCCATTATTTTACATAGCACTCTCTATTTTTCAAAAGGGTTTTAACGTGAACTCAGAATATGCTTCTTATAGAAACAACTTGATAAACCACAGTGAGGTTCCCAGGAGGCCATCACAAATGTGTATCAACAGTAACATCGCTACAGGATGATAGTAGTTCAGATTGAGTGTCCCTGACTTGAAATGCTTGGAATCAGAAGTGTTTCAGAGTTTGGATTATTTGCATTTACATAATGAGTCATTATGGGGTTAGGACCCAAGCTGAAACACAAATACACTTATGTTTCAGACACCTTGTACATACAGCCTGAAAGTCACCTTATTTACATGTGGCCCAAAGGTATTCTTGTCCCTGGGATGCTTAGTAAACTGTGTGTGCCTGCATTCTGGCTGCAACCCCTTCCCAGAGGTCAGGTGTGGGGCTCTCCACTTGTGGTGTTCCATTGGTGTTGGACTTTGGGTTTTGGATTAGAGATGCTCAGCCTGGATGTGTTTTTCACCTTTCACTATGTCTGAAACAGAGGTACAGGTGTAAATGGATTCGTCTTAAAATTGAATTTGACAGTGATTTACTTGCTTATTGTAACATTAAAATAATGGTGTGTCTATTGTTGGCATCTTAGATTCTGTGAAATACAGAGTTGAAGTTACAGTGGGGGCTAATCTGCTCATCACTGAAATAACTTGAGTATTTTAATACCAGAATAATCTAAGCAATGGAGCCTAGGATCTGACCACATGATGTGGTTAGTGGGGTCTGAATTATTCTTGAAGGAAGAGAAGTTGTGGAAAATTTTGTGAAATTGACTTTTTCTCTCCTTTCCCCCAAAGTCCACAGAATCTTAATCAGAGAATGGATGTTTTTTATTTGCAACCAGAATGCTCTAGTTCTACAGATAGCCCTGTCTGGTACACGTCTGCTTCCCTGGACCGAAGCACCTTGGAAAACATGCTTGTGCGGGTTCTTCTAGTGAAAGATATTTATGATAAAGACAATTATGAACTGGACGAAGAAACAGACTAAAAAGGAACGTTTCAGAAGCAACTGGGATAAAACAGCATTAGGTAGTCATGCTGCTAGATCTTTATTATGGAAAACATTTCAAGTTTACTCCTCCTGTTTTGAGTTTTGTAGCAGTGTACCCACACTGGGTATTACCATGTAAATAATCTGTGAGTGAAAGTTGCCATTATTCTATGTAGTGGTTTTAGGATACTTAACAAATACATTCAGATTCTTTTTTTTATTATTATTTATTTGATTAGGTATGTTTGTAACTTTTTACATTACAGAATATGAATGAGAATGTGCCATGTATAATTTTTTCTTGTAGTATGAAACATCCACATCACACAACTCTGCTGTCGAAAGCTTCCTTGAGGGGCTCTTACTGGGTCTTTACCTGGTAGTTGTGTGTGGGTAGCACTACTAAGTTTAGAACTTGCAGTGTCTTTCGGAATTTTTAAAATAAACTGTAAACTAATAGGCTGGGGTTTTTGTTTTGTTTTGTTTTGGGGGGTGTTTGTTTGTTTTGTTTTACGTTTTAGTTACTGAAGCCTTACAAGGTTATGTAGAGAGATACCATCTTCTGTACCAAAAATAGACAAGAGAATGCTGTCAATATTGGTGTGCTGTAATGTGGATCTATACTGGTAAAACGACTTTTTGTTCCCCTCATTAAAACCTTAGTGTCCTTTTCTCATTTGTGGCTTTCTGCATCACCCCAATCAATAAAAAAATATATATATATGTATATAGATAGATATGTATGTATATATATATATATAAAATGACTGTAAGTTGAAAACAAGATCATCAAGACGTTTTCTTTGTAAAAATGTCTGATGAAAGCATAAAATTCTGTTTTCTTCTATGCCAGCCATAAGTATCTGAAATCCCCTTCATCTGTAGAGGTTTGATTTTTATTTATTTCTGTTTTCTCCCTTAAGGATACAGTTCACTTGCACTATCACCTGTGTAGTATTCTACAATTTTATCACTTTTGTAGAATTCTTGTGCCTGCTTCCAAATATGACTGATGAGTACATTGGATACAATTATTGACAGAAATAGTTGTTAGAGAAAGTCAAGCTACTTTATGTAAGGTCATCTCACATTTTATCACGAAGATAACCAGTGTAGGAATTCTGATATTTCAGATGATCAAAGAACATAGAAAGAAACTGATAGATACAATCTGTCTCAGAAGAAATCACATTTGATGTTAGATTGGTTGGCTTTTAAAATTTAATTACTTCTTATAGAAGACTGCATTTTAAATACTGTGCTTCTGCATAGCAGTTGATCCATTCAGACCTTTTCTTGTAGAATAAGGAAACGTACAAAACCTTACTTTCTAAAGACTGAGCAAAGTGCTAGCTGCAGATAATCATAAAGAATTCATTTGGCTGACTTCATGTATAGCATGTGTGTAATCATGTTGTTTTCTTATTTCTGATTCCTGAATCACCATGATGACATTTGTTTTTAAAAATTGTTTGGGGGAAAAGTGGGCTATTTTCCACTGGGGGTAAGCAATTGCTGCACCATCTTTATCTCTTAGGATAAAAATGTTAGCACACAGAAGACATTTTCTCACTCATGAGTTGGAAAATTTCACAGGTGTGATCACTGTATATTTAAGCAATAATTACCTGAAATGTTTTTGGCATAAAGATTACTTTATAATGTTCTAACTTGTTTTATAAGTTTGAATGCCTTTTCTGTCCCTTGAATTTTATATTTGTTGGGTGATAATGAGACTGGTGGTAGCAAATCTGATATTACATTACTAAAATAGATTGCTGATTGTCTAATGAAGACAGTGGATAATATATTTAAAATACACAATACAGAAATTTCATCCCACTAACCTTTTTCCAGAACTGCTTCTTTAAGCACTTTTCCTATGAATGCCGATTGTTGATTAAAAGGTGGTTAATTCTAACCGTCTTTTATTCTTCAAAGTGGTGCTGTGTTCCATCAAGAGCAATAAAGTTTTTCCCAAATGTCACTTATTGTATATTTTACAAGATGCTGTAAGTTTTTGCCACAGTATACTACTATTTCTTCATTTTTACATTTTAGCTTTTCTAAGCAGAAATGTCTTCATAATTTTGATCTTGAAATGATGGAGGATTTGGGGCTCTTATCTTTGTCCTGATTTCTATCCAGTGGTAGATTAACTTGACTTTTGGGGAAAAGGGAAAACAAAAAATTATTTCATAAGACTTGATTGTCTGTGAAACTCACTTCACCTAGAACACATTTCATTGATTCCTGGGTCTCCTTGGTGCACAACGTCATGGCCGAGGGCTAAGAAAGGGCCAGTGGCACAGTATCCATCTTCCTTGCTCCTGGCGGTCTCTGAGCAGAGACAGCATCCTTTAAGTGCAGCTTTACTGTCTTGAGCTGTCCATTGAAGATGCTGTATTTATCTGTTCTGAAGAAGGTTTTGGAATTTAAAAGGATCTAAGGAAAAAAATTTATCCGTATTGAGAAAATGAATTTTCCTTGCAAATTAAATCTTCATCAATGCATTTTTACAAGGCTTTTTACTGTATTCAGAAATATAAGATATTAAAGGATTTTTCTTTTTTTTGAGTTAGAGTCTCACTCTGTCGCCCAGACAAGAGCACAGTGGCACAATCATACCTATCACAGTCTCAACCTGCTGGGCTCTGGCGATCCTTCTACCTCAGCCTTCTGGGTAGCTGGAACTACAGGCATGCGTCACCACACCCAGCTAATTTTTTTTTTTTTTTTTGAGTCGCAGTCTCACTCTGTCACCCAGGCTGTGGCATGCTCACGGCCACCCCACTGTCGACCTGCTGGGTTCTGGTGATCTTCCGCCTCAGCCTTCCAAGTAGCCGGAGCTACAGGCGTGCTCTTCTAAACTCGGCTAATTTTTGATGTATTGTAGAGATGAGGTCTCGCCAAATTGCCCAGGTTGGTCTCGAACACGTGGGCTCAGGCAATCCACTCATCTCAGCCTCCCAAAGTGCTGGGATTACAGACTGAGTCACTGGCCCTTTTTTTTTTTTTTTTTGAGTGGGAGTCTCACTCCGTCGCCCAGGCTGGAGTGAAATGGCACACTCAGTCACCCCAGTGGTGTTCTGCTGGGCTCAGGTGATCCTTCTGTTTCAGCCTTCCAAGTAGCTGGAACTACATACAGGCATGCTATCTCGGCTAATTTTTTTGATTTATTGTAGAGATGAGGTCTCGCCAAGTTTCCCAGGCTGTTCTTGAACACGTGGATTCAGGCAATCCTCTCACCTTGGCCTCCCAAAGTGCTGGGAATACAGGCTTGAGTCACCTTGCCCAGCACGTTTTTAAAATGTATTGTAAAGACAAGATCTCGCCTCATTGCCCAGGCTCGTCTTGAAAACCCCTCACTTTGGCCTCCCAAAGTACTGGGATGACAGGCATGAGCCACCATGTCTGGCCTATTAAAGGATTTTTCTAAGCAGGAATCTTCACTTTTGTCTCCCATCATAGTACTTTTTGCTTGAATAGTAATTAATGTTTTTTCTGTTAAATGGAGTTGCTGCCAATGTGTTGAACGTTGAAATAGGAGGAGAGTGCATGTTGCACCAGCATTCAAGTTTATCCTGTTTCTGATGGCCTCTCTCTCTGTCCTGGCCAGTTGTGATTTGGGAATGGGTTAACTTGTTTATGCCTCACATTAAGGATTGCAGTCATGGGGAGTAAATAGACTTGCAAGCTGTGGCTTGCACTGCTTAATCTGAGAGCTTAACTATTTTACCATCTTAAATCACTATAAACATTAGCATTTTTGTCTTGCTGGTTATTTCCAAAGTTGTTGTACATATATCACTTTATTCTAAGCTAATTTCCTTGTTCCCCTCTAACAAAATAGTCACGAAGGTGTATGTTAAAATATTTTAAAGAACGCCGGGCGTGGTGGCTCAAGCCTGTAATCCCAACACTTTGGGGGAGGTGGAGGCAAGAGCATTGCCTAAGTTCAAGAGTACGAGACCAGCCTGAGCAACATGGCGAGACCTCGTCTCTACAGCAAATCAAAAAAATTAGTTAGGTTTGGTGGCACATGCCTATGGTTCCAGCTGCTTGGAAGACTGAGGTAGAAGGATAACCTGAGCCCAGTAGGTCAAGACTCCCGTGGCCTTGAGCATGCCATTGCACTCCAGCCTGGGCGACAGAGTGAGACTTCAACTAAAAAAAAAAATTTTAAAGAATAAATTTATTTAACCAAATAATGTTTTTGGATTTTCCACTTAATAAACCCCTTACTCGTTTTTAGAAAAGATTTTGAATTTCATTTATTTCACCCAAATACTGTGAATGCAATAAAATGTGAATTCATTTATTCACATTCTACTGTGTTCTCAGAATTATTAGAGCAGTTTTAATGCTGTTTTCCAGTATCCAAGTCCTTTGTTGTTGTTTCTGGTTAAATCGTACTTGATACTGCTGATAAAATCTTAGCAGTTTAGAAGTTGATGTCTAGAACAGGTTAGCTGCGTCAGTGTGGGTCTGAGACTAGATACACCTGAAGGGGCATCTCAAATTTGTACCTGGTCTCCTTAACTTTGAAGCTAGATGACAGAGGACACCCACATAAATGGCTGTGACCCCACCTTGTCAAGAACTGGAAAGGGGAGAGTTGCCCCTGGAATGGAGCAGGTGGTGTCTTAATAACTGAGTTCAACAAGTTCATGAATTTAGGTCTTTTGAGAAGAGAACCAAAGAGAAGCTGAGCTTTAGCCTGTAAGTAAAACCTTAGGAGTAGAGCCGTGCCAGGAGCTGTAGGCACCTGGCGCAGTTTCTGTCATAGTGCAGTGGGGGAAAAAATCACTTTATTCTACCTGGACTTCAGTGTTCTTTTCTGTGAAAGGAGGGCATAGCCTTGACTTCTGATTCTGAAATTTCAGATTGAGCATTAACGAATAGTAAAACTTACATATTTTTATTTGAATCCTTGTGATTTATTTAGGAACACACTTTTTTTGTAGAAGGGAAAGATCTTTTCTAAAATAGCTTTACCACTGAGAACACATTAGACCTAATTTTAAAAGTTCAATTCTGATAACTCCTTGGAAGTAAACTCAGCAGACATTTGTAACATACTTCCCATGTCAAAGAGCTGCCACCTCTAATCATGGTCGTCAGGGAGCAAGAGGAGAGACTCAGAAGGCGTTAGGGTTCCCAAGCTCACGTCCTTTGGGGATTAAACACGACACACCATACATTCAACTCCTGGGAAACGTATGGAGCAGATACTCAAGCTTGTTTAGTACAGCAGTTATTTTGAACATGCAAATACTTCAAAAGGCTGTTATGGTCTGGAGTAGGTTTCAGATGATCGCTGCCACCTGTGACTATGCGCTACATAAAATGTGAGATTCCTAGGCCGGGCGCGGTGGCTCAAGCCTGTAATCCCAGTGCTTTGGGAGGCTGAGGCGAGAGGATTGCCTGAGCTCAGGGGTTCGAGACCTCATCTCTACAATAAATCAAACAAATAGCTGGTTGTGGTGATGCGTGCCTGTAGTTCGAGCTACTTGGAAGACTGAGGCAGAAGGATTGCCTGAGCCGAGCAGGTAGAGGCTGCAGTGGCTGTGAGCCTGCCACTGCACTCCATCCTGGGCGCAGAGTGAGACTCCAACTCAAAAACAAAAACGTGAGATTCCTGTAACCTTGGCATTGCTTCTAGCTCTGTTGAGAATCGCCAGTGGTGTAATTTATTTTTGGTTTTGATGGCATCTGCCCTTATGTCGCAGCCTGTAGCCAGAGCCCTCACCATGCATTAGAGTTCAGTCTAAAAGTTTTTCGTCTACACTAAATCAAGGTGAATAATCCAGTTTCAGGTTATGCAGTATGGGTGGAAAAAGGTTCAGCATATTGTTTAAAAAAACCTCAAACTTTGAAATCCACTGAGAATTTATTTTCACAATAGTTACTTTCTCCAAGTCATGGGTGTGTCTCACTGCTAAAAGCAGAATAAACCCTTTCCATTTTGTTACATGCTTGTAGTTCTAAACTGGTGTCAGCAGGTGGTAGTAGTGCCCAGCACAGGCCTCAGTGGCATTGATCTTGTTTATTGTGTGAGGTGTACTGGAGTCCTTTATCTGAAGCCTGGGGGGTTTGGACTTAAGAGTTTTCTCCTTTTCAAAGACCTCATGATGCCTATGCTTTAGATGGTTTAGCGCCGTCAGTGGGTCTGGGCAGCTCTCCATAGCCTAACGCAAAGATTCCTCCAGCACAGTCAGGCAGTCATAGGGACTGGGGCGGAGCACAGGGAGTCCTGCCTGGTTCAGGTGAATTTTTGTCACAAACCTGAGAAACAATGAGGCTTTCTGATAAGGAATCACTGACCGGTGTAAGAAAACGAACTTCATGTCTGATTCTTCTAATAAAATAGTAGTTTCTCTTTTTCAAAATTAGTTTTGGTAGAGGTAACTGAAAGCTTTCTTCAGTAGAATTTACAGACTAGATCTTAGGGTCAAGTACTTGACGTGCTACAGAATGGGCATAACTAACAAATGGCAGTTCTAGACCATTAGGAGTGTGAGGCTCTGGGACATGGTCGCTTTCTTTGACTTGCCATCTGCCTCATGTTCGCAGCATTATTGTAGGCATTCCATGTGAACACAGCACACCTCCCTGAAGAGCTGCAATCATGTCATGGCACAAGTCAGCTCTTCAGCAGTGCTTTAGGGGTTCTGTCCAGGCATTAGCCTAGGTGCCGGGAGCGCAGTAGGAGCAAAGACCCACCCTGGCCTCTCAGGACTCGGTGATCTGGGGTGGTAGGGGAATATGGTGTGATGTGTGCCCAAGTCTGGTGCTTCTGAGCACACGGCTGGTGTCTGATGAAGTGGTGGTGGGGGGCACGCG